GTAGAAATAAACAAACAACGAAATCATGAAATGTGAACTTTGCCTGAGTTAATTCTGCAGACATAAATATGATTCCAGGTAGTAGCTGAAAAAAATGTTTGCAAAATGCTTTTAATTTCTTGAAGGAAAAGTACCAAAGAAAATTATAAGTGTTATTATTAACATATACACTCAACAGCAGCCTACATTTTCCTTCTCCTAATTTCACAATTCTCTTCAGTCTCTCCCTTTGCGAGTGTGCCAAGTCACTTCAGTCGTGTCCAACTCTTATGCGACCCCATGGATTGTAGCCCATCAGGCTCCTCTGTGCATGGGATTGTCCAGGCAAGAATTGTGGAGTGGGCTGCCATATCCTCCTCCAGGGGATCTTCCTGACCCAGGGATGGAACCTGAGCCTACTGCTGCTCCCGCATTACAGGCGGATTCTTTACTCCTGAGTTATCAGGGAAACCCCAAGTCTCTCCCTTTACATAAAGCTAAATACTTCCGTTTATTCCCTGCTATGAACACATGAAGGCCCGTATGCAGTTTTCAAATTCACTGAACTCAACTTCCAAAGAACAGTTTTTTTGGGAAAAAAACTAATAAATGGAAACTATAAGAAGTAAAAATTAAATTCGTTAGTCAAGCATGCAGGATATTTAAGTCACGGTTATCCTTTACTAAGCCAAATTCAGTGTCATCATACATTAAGTAAGAGACAAACATTACATACAGCAATCTTAGATGAAGACTTCCATTGTAATGGCAACAGGAGAACTTTAAATCACTGAATCACGGTATATTGTGATTGCAACTTTCTAGACTTAGTGTCAATTCCCACAAATGCCCAGTGCATTCCTCATGCCTTCATCTCTCTCTCTCTCTCTCTCTCAGCCCTTCTGTTTCCTTAACAGCACAGCCTAAATTTAAATCTATCAGATATCTGGTCAATTCTGCTCCCCACTCGAATTAATTCCATCAAGTCAGGAACACTCATATCTTACTTTTGTACCCCAGCATCTAATGAACCTTCCATAATTATTTGTTAGATGAACAAAAGTCTGAAAAGGTAAGGGTTGAAACATACAGTTACAATCAAGAAAGAGTTCCAAAAGGTTTGACTGGAGTATTTCATACCTCAGGACAAAAATACAGTACCACAACAATGCTCAGTGAAGAAAGGAGAAAGTTCAGGTGAAGAAGCGAAGATCATCAACCCTAAGAGCAAAGGAAGAGACAGAGAACAAAAGCTAGAAAAGACTACTCCACAAACAAGCCAGGACTAACTGGAATAGAGGGATAATAGGCAGCACCTAAAGCCTCTTTCCCTAGCATGTCCAAGGACACACTCCTTGACACAAACATGTTAGTGAGCTTCTCCAGGGCACTGAACATTCGTCACTTTTATTTTCCACGACTGTCAGACACAACGCTGCCTTCAAAGAAGCAAATGGACCAAGAACCCAGATGACATCAATTCATTGTTGCTGCAAGATAACATAGAAGTTAACATTTGAAGAGCACCTTATCTTTTCAAAGCAGCTGCGTGTATTTTCTTTTTCTCAACAGAAGTTATTACAATAGCAGCATTATCTTTCCCGTTCTTTAAATACAGACACACAAAAGTGCTCTAAGCCTTGAATTTGAACCCTACCTCTGCTACTTATGTGCTGTGTGATCTTGGACAAATTATTCACTTCTCTGTGATCTGAGTATCCATGGGGAAAAATGACATGCACCTTAAAGGACTGTTCTGAGCATTAGTGAGGTTAACACTTGCAGAGCACACGACACAGTAAATTCAGCTCAATAAAGGAGAGTAACCTTCCCTATGGCCTCCTTCAGTAGTTCGTACACGGTTTCTCAGCTAGTAAGATGGTAAACCTAGGACTTACACTCAGGCCGCCTGATTCCTTAATCTGTTTTCCTCCAGCCACATCGCTTTGGCAGACTGCCGCATACTACTGACACATAAATATATTGACAATAACTGATCACAAAATTTTTATCTATCAGTAACTAAATTTAGCTTTGAGAAAAAGGGACCCCCAAAAAAACCTGATCTAAATAACTGGGGGGAGGGGTTTGAAAATATAAAACATAAATTATATCCCCAAGCCGCAGCAGAGGTGGTACCACAGCACTTCTGTACAAACAAAAAAATATGACAAGAAACAGACAGTTATCTCCGGGTTTATGAGGAACAATTGGAGAAAGAAACAAGCATGGCTATGATTAAAGGAACTTAAAAAAACCTTAGGTTTTTTTTTTTTTTTTTTTTTTTTTGGTAAACCAAACCACTGGGCAAAAAGATTTGCATCCCATTCCAAAATATCTCGATCGGGGCTGAGAAGTCTCTTTAAAAAAAGAGACCGCAGTGTGCTAACAACAAACTTTTTCTTCCAAGTCTTTTAAGAGGTTGGTAAATGGGAAGACTGAAGATAACCCACCAATGTAAATTGTCAACATTCATGAAGATCCTTGAAGACCATAAATGTTTAGTTTTGGATTCAATATTAATAAGCAGCATAAAGGAGCATAAGCAAAAGGATAAAAGTTTCATAAGTAACCTAACACAAGTTGAAAATATTTTGAAAATTATATAAAACTAAAACAGTATACAAAACAGTATAAAACTAAGCTATTACTCTGTTAATAAAAATAACCAACTGCTTTCAAGTGATATATATAACTAATCTTTTTCAAGTGGTATACATAACTCCTTTCAGGGTAAGTTCTAAAAGACATTCAAAGAAGTTCACATCTTTAACGATCCCCAAGAACTTTCTTACTAAAAGAGAAGACAGAATAATTCAGTCACATTCAGAATTTGTAAATTCTGAAAAGAAAGGCCAGAAGAGAGCTTGACCTGACATTAGCAGAACCCAAGATTTAACCCAGGAAGGTAAACATTGAGTGAGTGTCTGCCACAGAGCAGGGGAGAGGCTGATGAGAAGTTCGACCCCTTTCCACCACAACCATATTTCTTGTCCTCTTCAACTTAAACCTCTGCTAAATATTTTCCACGGAAGCATAACAAAATACTCCTAACATTTCTTCCTGACACTCAGAGAGAATTTCATTTCCTATTTAGCTTTAACTAGGAGCCACTAACTCCAGATTCTATGCAGAACCTATCAATCTCCAGGGGTCATGCCCCTCCCTTCTCTAAATTCTTAGCTGTTGTCACAGTTCAGTAAGTGGTGTCTCTTTTGCAACCCCACAGACTGCAGCCTGCCAGGCTCCTCAGTCCATGGGATTTCCCAGGCAAGAGTATGGGAGTGGGTTGCCATTTCCTTCTCCAGACGTTCTTCCCAGACCAGGGATAGAACTGGGGAAGCCCTCTAAATTCTTTTCTCTGATATTAAATTCTCTTCTGTCATAGAAACTTTTTCAGAGAACACACATTAGCCTAACTTCCCAATATAGATTCTCCATAAAGACAAGACTAGTGACTCTTCATTAATCTCTTCCTGGGAGCACTCAGGATCTGGCAATTAGGAAATCACTCAAGATCAAGGGCCCTACATTTAAATCCTGCTGACCTCACTAAAATGATGATGATAATAATAATACAAAGAAAAAACAATAACCCTTCCAAAACTCTTGTGAGAAGTCTAAATTTGTTAAAGTACATAGACTTGTATAGTCTCCCTCCAAGGACTACAAATTTAGTCCCTTCTCCCTTAAGAAAACCCAACTCCTGCTGATTCTAAATTTGTACTATGGAAATACTTATTCAACCTAGAATGACCCCTAGGTTGATTATTTTTTTCAACAAAGAAATTACACAAATTAGAATCATGCCACTAAATCCAATGAAAATAAAACGAGGAAGAACATTTAGTCTCCAAAGTTTCCGGGCTAGGAGAGAAAAGGAAAAGATAATGAGTTCCCATATTTAAACTTTCAATTTAAATATGTCAATATTTGAATGACTTCTACACATAGCCTTTTAAACTCTAGTATATGCAGTAACTAAGTCACTAATGAAATACAACAACAGTGGCACAAAAGCGACTCATTGGGTTTTATTTGGATTCTTCCTAGAAAGCAGTCTCTCAGGACAAATGTCTGACTTCAAAATCTTGACCATCCTCTTCAGGACATTAAGTACTTAACACCACAGTTGAAAGACTTCCAATGAGAAACAGGCTGAGGGGAAGGAGGAGACAGAAAGTATCAACCCGAAAGCAAACCAGACAGCGAACAAAATTTTCTATCAAGAAACAGAAAGAAATTGTCATGACTCCTCCCGCTAAAATGATACAGACTTTCAAAGCAAAACCAGCCGCAAGACTGCGCGTTCCCTTTACTTCTTAAGTCTCCAGGGACGGTATCTACCTATATTCCTCGGAAGGAGGGGCTTAAGAGAGATAATCAAACAACAAATCACTATGTGGATAAAATGACTGGTGAAGTATGGGGCGGGGGAGTCACACAGTGAACTGGTAAACAACAAAAAAATGAACTCACGGTGCATTTAAAGATCTGTGCTGGATACGGGGGAAAGTCACGTCCCAGATCAACCTCAGTTTCCCTACCCAAAAAAAGGCGAGAACGTGACACTTGGCTCAGAGGAACCGGAGGGCCCTGCGGCCGCAAGCCTCCACCTAGTCAAGGGTCTCTTTCGAAGGCCGGATTCGGAGACTGTCCCCAGTGCAACTGAGTCGTGACACCCGGAGCCTTTGGGGGGCGGGAGGCCAAAGCGCGCAAAGCTCTATCCGTTCCTGGAAAGCGGCTTCCCCCAAACACTGGGGGTACCGACACCCTCCCCCGGACCCAACGAACCCTCCCTCCCGGACCACTCCAGGAGGCAGCCCCGGCATCCCTCCCTCCTTCCGGCTTCTCCCTCCGCTGCCCGCCGCCTCTCCGACCGCGCCCCCGAACGCCGCCGCCGTGTAGCTCCTCCTTTGCCTGAGTCTCCGCGGCCGACCGGCCCGCTGGCGCCAAGGTCTTCCGAACCCGGCGGCGGAAGGATGCCGGGCCCGGGCCTCCCAGGCTCCTCCCGGGCCTACCTGCAAGGCGGGCGGGGGCTCGGTTTGCAGTCCAACGGGTGGACTGAGCCTCGCACTAGAAGGAGAGGCAAGAAGGAAGCGAGGGGTCCGCTCCGCCGACCGGAGGGAGAAAGCAGCTTGAGCGCGGGGGCCTCGCAGACGAGACAGCCTTCGACCCGGCGCCGCCGCCGCCGCCGCCGCCGCCGCTCGGGAGACATCAAGCGAGAAGACGGCGCAGGAGATCACCGAATAGACGAACGCCCCAGACCTCAAAGGAGGAGCGCCCAAGCAATCGTTCAGGGAACCGCAGTCGATCGTCGAGAAGCAGCTTCGCTCCAACTCCGGGTCCGGCTCCTGTCCAAGGCATAAACAAACGAACCCAGATCGTAAACCGTGGAGTCAGAGTAGACTGGGCTTCTGCCATTTTCTGTGTCGAGTGCGGGCTGTCTAAATTGTTTAGAGAACCGGAATTTCTCTTGAGAATGTTGAAGATCAAGTCATAGTATAATAACACTTTGTTATTTAACTGTAATTCAGCGACTGCCTTATGGACTCTCAACAGTATTTACCCCACCTGAGCCCATTTGACCTTATTGGCTCAGTGAGGTGAATTTTTTAAAAAGATAGGTAGATAGCTAAAGATATAACAGAGGCACAGAGAGAATCCAGGCTGAGGAACAAATAATCTCTATTAAATCTCCAAATAGCTCCCATAAGCATAGCAGAGAAAAGCTGGGAATGTTCAGGGTTATGCAGTTTAAGGCAGGAAATATAATACACATACTGCTTTTATTTTATTCCAAAGGCCTAGAACCACAGGTGTGCTTCTTAATAATACATAATAACCAATAGTCTCTTTGGGTTCTAAACTCAACAAAGTGTGTTATCGTCACAACTATGGCCTTTTCTTGAACTCTCTTAGTAGACAGACTGCACATGGTCAGCACAAATATGATCAGCACAAATATGATAATATGGTCATACAGTCAGCACAAATATGATAATATGTTCATCCCAAGCATAATTTAATAAATCATGTAGATCACCCCAGTATGGATTACCAACTGTGAGCAATAAGTTTATCTTACCCTCCTTAGGTGTAAAAAAGAAAAGATAGCCCCAGCCCTTTATTAAAGAGTATATAATCCAAAGTGAAAGCCCACATACTTACAGCATTAGCTTTATTTACAATTATTTACAATTTACAATTTTCTGTAATTTTTAAAAAATCCTTTAAATGCATGAAACTATTTAAGGGGCAATTCATATATATATATATATAATGCAGGATAAGACCAGCATCCAAAATGTGAGGACAAAACACTTTATTGCCTATCACTGTTTTAGAGGAGTTTTCAAATGAGTCACCATTATAGCAACATTTATAAAGGCCTAAAACAAAAGAATGTAATCATCTTCCAAAACACAAAGTTTTAATTTATTCATAGTCCCATGAAGTTCTTGGATATATCCTAAAACAATTTTTTCTATTTTATTTTATTTTTATTTATTTATTTTTTTGACCTCGCTATAGGCTTCCCTGGTGGTTCAGAGGTTAAAGCGTCTGCCTGCAATGTGGGAGACCGGGGTTTGATCCCTGGGTCAGGAAGATCCCCTGGAGAAGGAAATGGCAACCCACTCCAGTATTCTTGCCTGGAGAATCCCATGGACGGAGGAGCCTGGTAGGCTACAGTCCACGGGGTCACAGAGAGTCGGACACGACTGAACACCTTCACTTCTTCACTTTCTATGTGGTTGGAGGGATCTTAGTTCCTCAATCTGGGATTGAACCCAAGCCATGGTGGTGAAAGTGCAGAGTCCTACCCACTAGAGGGCCAGGGAATTCCTCTACATAATTTTTGTTTAATTTAAGCAGAGATACAATAGCATTATTGTTTTGCATTGTATCATTTCCGTCCTAAAGCCTTTAACAGTTGTTACTTTAAATGATTGCACAATATCCTGTTGAGAAGATTTACTTACCATGCTTCCCATTTTGAATATGTATGTTACTTCCAAACATATTCCCTGTAATTGCAGCTCCTGCAAAGAGGCAGTTTTAATCTTATTATTTATGATTAGGACCTACTACACATAAACAAAAAGAGAAAGGAAACAAGGCAGAGGTTTATTTCTCTGTCATGTAAAAGAAATCCAGAGATGCACAGCCTACGGTAAGATGCGGCCACTCAGCATCAGGGATCAGGCTTCTATCGTGTTGCTCTGACATCTTCAATAAGTGGTTTTCATCTTAGGTCCAAGACAGCTGCTCAAGCTCTAGTTATCATGTCTACATTCCAAGCAGCAGGAAGCTCAAAGAGGAAAGGCATGTCTCCTAGCCATAAGGACACATCTTGAAAATAGCACAGGACATTTCCACTTACATTCCACTGGCCAAAATAGAGTCACATAGCCACACCTAACTAGGAATTTGTCTTTACCCTGGGAAGCCATGTACCCATGAAAAGTCAGGGGCAAGAGGACTCTGGAGAAGAAAATGACAACCCACTCCAGTATTCTTGCCTGGAAAATCCTATGGACAGAGGACCCTGGCGGGTTACACTCCATAGGGTCGCAAAAGAGTTGGACTCAACTTAGCAACTAAACAACAATAAGCAGTCTCTGCCAAGTTCCTGGAGCAAGTTGAATAGCAAATTAACCTTGTTTTGCTGTTATCTCAGGACTGGGCTTCTACCCCTAGAATACATGCTTTAGAGAAGCTTCTTTCTTGGAGAGGCTTGTGGGGCTAAAGCTACAGCCCACACTCAAACTTGACCTATGCAATGACTTTACTTTGAAACGTTGATTTCAATGAGGAAAACTAAACAAACTAATTTCAAGGCGATAGGAAGCTTTTGGTTTTTCGAATCTGGAGACTTTTATTTTGGGAGAAACACTTGAAGGCTATGCAAATATAAATCTAAAATCCACATCTGAAAATGCAGATGTTTGAGAAGCTGAGGCTAGACTGCTCTGTGAAGCCAGGGAAATGGTTTTCATTCTGCAGGCAGAGTTGCATCTTTACAGAAAAATTTTGTTAGAGAAACTGTTTCAAGTGTGACAATAAACCACTACTTATTCTTATCAAGTCTATTGGGGCAGAAGAGAAGATAACAAAAGAGCCGGGGCTGAAACCCTCAAACCTACAGAAATCTTATCACGACGGAGGGAGACCTGAAAAAAGAAGTCAGATCATCCTGAGATACATAACAGACAACTTCAACTTGGTGTTAAAAAACTTAGTGACTTATTATTATGTTGATTGTTCATTATTGTATCCTGGTAGGAGTCTTCTGGAGGAGTCACCCCCTTGAAAATAAGAGGAGGCTTCCCCTGAAGTAGGGTGACCAACTGTCCCAGTTTGCTAAGGACTAAAGAGTTTCCCAGGACACAGCACTTTCAGCGCTAAAACTGAGACAGCGGAGGGCAAACCAGGAGAGTTGGTCACCCTAAGAATAAACCAAGCTGCTGTCAATCGTATGGAAAAATTTGGAAAGACTAAAGCAGGAATGAGGCCTGGGATTTATTGACCTGGGGCAATTGCTTGTGATAAAGGGTAAAGGGAAGGGACAGGAAAGAAGGGGAGGAGACTGTTCCTTATTTTGCTCTGGACTCAGAAATTTAACACACTGGGTGGTAGGAATCAAGTCTGAAGCTAGGGTGAGATAACTCTGTAGCAGTACCACGAGTCATCTTAATAGGAAGCCCAGGAAGAGGAGGCTTCCCAGGTTGGTCAGTGGTAAACAATCTGCCTGCCAAGTAGGAGATGCAGTTTAGATTCCTGGGTCAAAATGATGAGCCAGTAGGAGGCTCTCCGGTTGCAATTTTATTCTGTTCTTTTGTCATCTGGTCTCATGGCACCTTGGGATAATGTACACACTTCAAGCTGAACAGTAAAGGTAGAAGCAGTGTAGTGATAGAGGAGCTGTCAGCAAACAGGAGGGTTCCCAGAACAGCAACTAACCATTCACAGAACAATATCTTGGATTATTTATCTAGGATCAATTACTAGTAGTGGAATTTAGTCAATGGATTGAAACGTATGAACATTTTAAGACTCTAAAATGGCACCAAACTCAGTCCTTCTATAAAGACAGCTGTATATGTAAGGGCTAGATAAAGTCTCAACAGTATGAAACTGAATGTTTTGCTGGGCAGACATGGAGATTCCTTTCCAAAGGACTTTGAAATTTACCATCCTGTGATTTCAAGGCCTACTTTGCTTGCATCATATAATATCAGGGGATCTCATATCTTCTGTTTGTTTATCACAAAGTGGGATCTTAGATGGTAGCCACATTAAAAAAAAAAAAAGCCTGTGAACTTTATGTGTTAGATACCTGGGGTGTCCCCAGCCTTCAACTCATATTTTCTCTTCCTTTCTGCACTATCATTCTTACTTAGTGCTGAGTCCATGATCTCTCATACTCACAATTTTGTAAAATCTAGGTGGGATCTAGGGGAAAAAAAGAGCCTTGAGGATATGTGCATGCACAGTGGTTAAAACCCCTGCTTTCTTGTTTTCTTGACTTCCTCTTAACTTACCCTCCATTTGCTAGGGAAATCAACAGTTAAGCTTAGTTCTTGAGTTTTCAGTTTATTATTTCAGGTAGAGATACAATCATAGTATGTTTATTCTCTATCTAGGCTCTATTTTACTCCTCGTCTCTTATACTATTTCATATCTGATCCCATTAAGATTGTGACTTGTTTCTTAGTCCCTAAATTAGATGAACTTGCTATAGATCCTTTATAGTCCAGGAAAGGAGCTCCATCTCTGCTCAGTTCATTTTAAACTAAGATTATGTTTATGTTCCCTTGTCTGTATCATTTGGAACTGGTAAACCGATGGTAACCCAATATTGTTGTTTTTCCTTAGTATAACCAGAGACTTCTGCTGATTTGGAACAGCTAAGGGCAAATCTGGAAGACTCTCAGACTGGCCAGATGGAGTCATCTATGGGAAGATGAAGCTTACATAAGACGGACAAAGTCCTTGACTCTTTTCCAAAGCAATACCACGAAGATACTATACATTCACAATAAGGCCCTCAAGCGAAGACTTCTCAGGCACTTATAAAAAGCTCCTATGAGCAAACCCTTGGTAATGTGGAAATACAGATCCTGATCCCGCCCCTAGATCATTTTGGGTAAAGTATAACTATGGACTGAAAAAAAACCCTGGCCTATAGAGATCCACATCCAAAGGAGATTAAAGG